AATAAAAATGAAATATTAATGATAAAAATTAAGTGTAAATCATCATGATATTCGTAGAAAAAAATTTTAAAATTAAAGTAATATGGTATAAATATCTAATTATGCCGACAGTACTGTAATTACTACATTATACATAAGGGCATGGCCAAATTTATTTCTACTTCAATGCACAAACTAAAGGCTAAATTGTGTACTATTACTAAATACTGTATTTTTGTCCAAAATATACCGTTATACTGTGGCGTGTCTGTCCAAGGTAGCAATAATAGGCCGAATCACGAGCTGGTGATGAAATTATTGACACTAGTAAACGGTGTATAAATCACCTGGTTTTTACCCCAACGTTTAAGGGACAATTGAGTAAAATTTGAAAATACACACTACGTGGCTTTAAATCGCATAACAATCGGATGGGCGTAGAGAAGAAAAAAGAGGCACAGAAAAAAAGGAAGAAAAAAAAAGAAGAAGGGGGTTATTTGTTATGCGTTCGTGCTGGTTGTCCTAGTTGGTAAAAGGGCTGTTGATGTCCATTAGGACGGTGGGAGTTGCATGCTATAAGTCAATGTGTAGGAGAGGGGGCTCAGCAGACTGGTCAACCACCCCGACCGGCGTTGCCGGATCTCAACAACAACAACAGGTTCGTCACCCCTCTCCACCAAAAAAATAACAATAAAGCAAAATAATGCAAACAGCACTTGCACTTGACCTTAAGGCTATCGGTGAAAAAGGGGGGGGGGAAAGAGCGGCTTCTTTGTACCGAATTTAAGCGGTACTATGATTTGCTGGGTACACACACTTTATTTAATCTTTATGTGAATCTCGTCGAGCAATATCTTTAATTTATTAAACAAAACCAAAATTTCGAAAAACCAAAATCAGAATTTCATATTACCGGGATAGATATAAATAGGGTATTATATTGTACTGGCCTAAGTCAGAAGTAATTCAAGTCGTACGCATCGAAACCATTTTCAGTTTTTTTATAATAATTAACATTTTACCTTTTCTAATGTAACGCTTCCCTCAATCAAGTTTGATAAAAATATGTATTCAAAAGCACTGACAACACCATCTGCTTCTTTCGAAACACTACTTAACCCACCTCCATTGAAACGCGAATACAAGATGATCGTAGGGAAAGCTCAGACACCAGGAACAAAAACTTAGATAGGGCCAAAATATTTCATACCCATCCTTAGAGATCGGAGACTATATGATCCCTAACTTTGGCTGAAACATATGTTCCAGCATCGTACAAAATTTTAAAAGACAACAATGTGGAAGAAAAAATCAGTAGAAAATCGTGGAATTATACTATATGCAGATGGCTCCAAAACCAATAAGCGTCAGTTCGTAAGGAAACACAGTCTTGTAATAACAGTACAATGTAAATAATGAACTACTTTATTTCTCATGGCTCCAAAGCCGATAATTCGTACATTCAAACGTATGAACTTTTGCTCGGTACTATGGCGGACGAGGCTGCTGGACAAAATTATACGGCGTGCATCTATGAAACAATAAGTGAGCACATTGCCCATAGTGGTTCAAAAAGTTTGCTTCTGGGAATGAGAGGATTGAAGATGAAACACTGTCTGGAAGATATTCCGTCTTGAATGCCGACGAATTGAGGGAGGTTTTCGAACTTCATTCGTGTCAAACAAGTCAGGGCTTTGCCAGTGTTGAATGAAAATGATGAAATCTTTCACTCTAGCTTACGTCGACTGTGGAAGACTTGGAAGCTGAGCAAATGGGTTTCTCATAAATTGACTGAAGGTAACATATTTTAGGTTCTATCCAATCGCTTTCATTGCTTTCACGTCACTCGTGTAGATAAATAAATAGATCCTGTACAGTAAGGAGGTCGTACCACTGACTGTCACCAAATGATCCTGTCCTATTGAAGAGAAAACCGAATATTCACCAACAAAAGGTGATGCTTTGAGTTTGGCGGAGTACTTTTTCTAAATTTTTAACCACTTTTGGGCAATGCGCTCACTTACTGTTTCGAACGCCGTGCAAATTTTACGAGCTCCACCGCCTTCCCTATTACCGATCTAAAATTCTCTATTTCTAAATCTAAAAAAGAATTATAGGTTTTGACACCATAAGAAAGAAAGGTTTTTATAATTTAAAGTAAATTGTTCCAGACACTTTTCTTTATGAACCAACGCATTATCTCTTTGTATTACGTGACGTAAAGCCTAATCCTCTTATGTACATAAAAAGGTTGATTAGCAGTTAAATCAATAGCAAATTATAAACCGCACGAACTTTTCTAATTACCTGGTTCGTATATACTGTGCAGGTCTAATCCAAGAGCAATGAAAATCATTAGAGCAGTATGTCTCAGTCTTTCAACCTAAAATACATGCTGTCAATGCTTGTGTCATAGAAAATCTTAAATGTGGATACTTCAGCAACAACAATTCGATTAGACAGCCAAACAGCTCTAAGGGTCACATCCAAAATTGTCGTTGAATCAATCCAAAATCTCCAAAACCTGGGAAAACATAACAATCTGATATTTTATGTCGTGCCAGGCACAAGATCAACAACACCATAATAGGTTAAAAAACCAAGGAATAACAACATAGACTCCACCCTCTCAAAATGGGCTTAAAAAAAGGAAAACAAAATGAAACAATACATTCGTGATCAAGGAACCCTCACCAAAACCGAAAAAATGTTATATCCAGAATACTCAGTGAATGCACGCAAGACCTGTAAACATGAGATAACCTAACAATACCTTGGACCTCAAGGCAAGGCCAACTGTAGGCCGAGAACATTCATTCAGTTGCCAAGATCACACCTTGATTCCTTCGTCGCAGCAAGGGGACACACAATAGAAATATGAAGGAACACTAAAAGCACTAGGCATGGTAAACTAATAACTAAAACCCTTACCAAAACTGACTATGTCATTGCTACGGTTAGATAACGTAAATGTCAGGGATATGAAAGGCATTATATCGGACAGTGGTTTATTAAAATTACACCACATCATGGATATTTCTATGAAGACTCCCGTTTATAGATTATGCAAGGAGGAGAAAGAAACTACCACCTATATTACCTTGGATATTGAAGCAGCAACATAATGGAGATATAACATAGAGTAAAATCAGTTCATTGATATTCTACTTCAGGAAATAACGATACAGTGAAGAAGCCAGTGATTTTCCATGCAAGCCTACACAAAGTAACAACCACAAAACAAGCACTTTCATATAACCTGAAATATATAGTATTAATGCTTGTGTCAAGAAAATTTTATAAGGGGTTGCATAAGAGCAGAGAGCCAAGAGGTTATAAAAGCATTAACACCAAAAAATATCACATTCAAAATAGTCATGAATGCATTGAAAACCTCTAAAACTTGAGTGTCAGGGCGCGATAGAATGGCTAGAGGGGCACAGAATAATCAGACTATCCGCAAATCTAACAATATGCCCAGAAACTATTACGTTACCACACATACATATGTAAAAGAGAAATGGACAAACACTAGAGGTACTTACTCATAAACTCATAATTAAACAACTAACGAACTGCCAAATACATTGTTACAACGAGACACGGTCTAACTCAAGATAGAGATAGAAGTCTATACCAGTCATCAGTACCCGAGGAAACATCTAAGACAACAGAGTGGGGTAGATCTTTGGATATATTGAAAGAACCCATTAATAGGTTCTACCATGAGAAGGTACAAACTGCTACCCATATAATTTTCAAACACAAAGCAACCGGATAGCCTAGGATACCAAGAAAACACGAGAAAAATAACAGCAGCAAAGTCAGTCAATGATTTTTTACTTGTTAAAAAAAGTATCGAGTCAACTGGACTGAACTAAGGAACTAGAAAAAGAACAATATGCCAGAAGGCTGCAGTGCTTATGGCATACTAAGCCCTAATTTTGTACAAACCTCCTCTACATCTTCATCATCATCATCACATAGTATGTTAAAATCTTTTATTTTTGGTTCCAAGTTGGTTGATGCATCCGCATATCAATTGAATTCATACACATACAATTAATTTATTTGAAAAAAACACATTAAAAATAGGTAATTATTTGTACGTTTATAATGAACAAGTAATAACTAGTTGGTTGTTATTTTTAAAAAAACTCGATGCATTAATTATTCATACATTTCTGCATTGCATAGGTGGGGTGAAGAGAGAAAAAAGTTTTTCACCTGCAGTAGAGTTAAATAAGGTGGAGATATGCAAAACTCGTTATGTTCATTTTTTATTAAAATCGTGATAATCATGTTCTCTTCTACTTTTCTGCCTTATCGTCACAAACCAGTATTAGCTACGCTGAGCTATTTTTAAAATGACCCTTTCAAGTAAATACATAAGGAAACAGCATGTTAATATTCAACATGTAAAAATATTTGTTTTTATTCCATGTAGATAAAACAGTCAACTCACTTCGAATAACTAAAAGCATTAGAAGATAATATAATAAGAGGATGATCTTAATCTAAAAAGACTCAAAACCAAAAAGGTGTTTCTTATTTTTTGATTTTTCTTTATACCTAATCTTGAAGTTATATATCATATATACAAAATACTGCATTGTAAATAATTCACTCTTTTTCGTGGTCCGCTTGACCAATCAATATCGTTAAATTAATTAAGGGTTTTAGTTGAGATAAAAAAGTCAGTGTCACGAGCGGGATTCGAACCAACGACCTTCGACTGGATACACCGCGCTACTCTACCACTTGAGCTATCGTGGCCTCGATCCACTCGGGCACTAGCTGCTTCCCATCTCAACTCCACCTTTTGAATTTTCCCTACCTTTTGCCATTTTTCAAATGTCGTATAATCTATTTGATTCTCAGCGACAAATGAAATGACCACGGAGAGCTTTAGTGAAGTATACTTCGTTTTATTTCATTAAATTCACTATTTTTCGTGGTCCGCTTGACCATTTAATATCATTCAATTAATTAAGGTTTTTTAGTCGAGATAAAAAAGTCAATGTCACGAGCGGGATTCGAACCCACGACCTTCGGCTTAAAATGCCGCTACCCTACCACTTGAGCTATCGTGGCTTCGATCAACTCGGGCACTAACGTCCCATCTCAACTCCACCATTTGAATTTTTCCTCCTTTTTGCGAATATAAATAATATTAAATTCAATAAATTATATATTTTTTGATTTCTAATCTAATAATAAACATAATTTGCTCTACGATGGATTTCTGTCTATTCATCTGTACTAATATTTATAAATTCATAATCTAACATAAACAAATTGTAAATATTGAAAAAATCGTGCTGATGTACTATCGGACTTTTAAAAATGAAAACGTGTCAAAAGGCTGGAAGAGGGCATGTTCTCAAAACGAACATAACGGTCCACCCTGAGCGACCGCCTCGCCTACCGCCCTTCCATGCTGATGATTTGATTGTTTTAATAACCAGCTAAAATAAACTTGCTCGAAAGGCTGTCATAGAAAAAAAAGGAACCAAGAAAACGGGGATTAACAATTTCTTCAAAATTTTAATTTTTAAAATGTTATGAAGTCAGGCTATTGCGGTTCCGTTGTAATTTTGTGATATTGGTTTTCAATAGTCCGTTATTATGTTAATCCCACTTATAACTTTAATATATAAGTTTTTTTAAATAAAAATTCAATATGTAAAAAATTATATAAAGGTTTGATTTAAAATTTTTTCGTTTGGATACTTACAGCACACTTCAATCGTTTAGCTACTTCCCTTTTTTCATTTATCAAAAGCCTGAAAAATCATAATACTAAATAATTAAAATTTCTAAGAGGGTTTTTTTCCTGAAATAATGAATATTAAATTTTTCTTTCTTTTATTTGAAATATATTTATAAATCTACATTTATCTTTATGAATTAATAGGTTTATTTCAATTCAAATACACAAAAGATTCATCTTATATTTTATGTGTAGCTCGTTCTCTCTATTTCTTACTTTCCAGTTTTATTATTTTTTTTCCTTCAATTCCCGTTTCCTTTACCTCCCTGTTCCTCTTCTTTCATCCCTATCTACTCCTTTCTTACTTTCTCTCTCTCTCCTTTCCTATTTCACTCTCTCCTTCATTCGCTCTCTATCTTTCTATCTTTTATCTTTTTCTCTGACGCTCTCCCTACGTTCTCGTTGGGTGTAAGATTGGTCTCAAATTTTGTGAAGAATAATAAATCCTTGTTAATGTTTCCTCTTTTTACTCTCATTCTTTTGCCCTGACTCTATCCCCCTCTACCCGCCTTCCTCTCCCTTCTCACTCTTCATATCTCTATCTTCTCTCCAACCCCCTTTTATCTTTCTAATTTTCTTCTCTTTTTTATTTTCTTTCTCGCTCTTTCTTTCTCTAAATTTCCTGTTTACCTATTCTATATTCTATCTATTTCCTTTCTAGTCGTTGGAATAAGAGGGGTTAAATTCGACCAAATTTTATGGTTATTAAAACCTTGTTAATGCCTACTTTTTCCTCACTACTTTCTATCACTCACTACCTCCATCTTTATCTTTTTCTCGTTCTTTCTCCACTCTCTGTCTGTCTCCCTCCTTCTGTCTGTCTGTCTGACTGTCTCTCCCTCTCCCTCTCTTTCGTTCTTTCTCTATATTTTTCTGTTTACCTATTCTATCTTCTATCTACTTCTTTTCTAATCGTTTTAAATAATAGTGGTTAAATTCGACCCAATTTACTTCTTTAGCCTCACTCCCTCGTATCACTCTACCTCTATGTTTATCTTTCCTCTTTCTCTCTCTCTCTCTCTCTCTCTCTCTCTCTCTCTCTCTCTCTCTTCCTTTTTCAGACAGTATTTGTTACTCATTCATTTCTGTATCTAAAACTCTTTCCGTATTTGTTCTGTTTTGCTCCTTTTTGTTTCCTTTTTTCTCTTCCTCTTTCCTCTCTTCCCTCTCTCTCTCTCTTTCTCTCTCTCT